TGAGAAGCTGGAAAGCCGCAATGCGACACTGGCAACTGACCTTACCGAAATCCAGCAAAGAATGGACGAAAGGCATCAAGGACAAGAAGCTGGTTCTCAGACCGCCGGGACTGGCCGCATGCCTAATGAGTCGCGCCGGGACTATCTCATTCGAACGGGAAAGATTACGCCATTTTCCAACATGAGCTCGGGGCCAAACCATGGTCCTCTTGCCAGTCTTCAGGATGCCTTGATCGATGCAGAGGACGAACGCGATGAACGGGAAGCATTGGAGCAGGTGAAAAACCGGTCAGCTGTTTCACATCGTAATCTCGTACGACCTGGGTTCGGGTTCGACGAGACTACCGAATCCAGCATAGCGGATGAAGCGCCTACCTCTCGAGCAAGTAAGCGCCGAAAGATAGACCGCGAGTCTCATGATGACGAACAAGAAGCTCTTGAACAAGACACCAAGGTATCCTTCGAAGATAATTTTGAGGATCAGGATGAATCTGCTAGCTATGTTGAATCTGAGAGGCAGTCGTCTGTATCGGAAGATGAAGAAGAATTCCTACCTGAAGAGAGGCCAAAACGTACGGCAAAGCCGGTAAAGGCTCCAAAGACTTCAGGTGATGTTGAAGATTTTAGCGGGATGGATGATGGAAATGAACAGCTCTATCAAGCTAGGCTTCAATATTGGGTCTGTCGAAGGGCTGCTGCTAGGAGAAGAGCGCTTGAAGCTCGTGCTGCAAGCCATAGACCCGAAGAAGTTGCTGCTGGAGACACTGTGGATGTGATGGATCAAGAAGAACAGGAAGAATGGTTCATGCCTCATCCGACAGTTGCAGATATGCCTTATGACAATGGCTACCGAATACCCGGTGATATACATCCCCTTTTGTTTGACTATCAGAAGACCGGAGTACAGTGGTTATGGGAGTTACAACAACAGCAAGTAGGTGGCATCATCGGCGATGAGATGGGTCTTGGCAAGACTATCCAAGTCATATCTTTCCTTGCTGGTCTCCATTACAGCAAAAAGTTGACGAAGCCGGTCATTGTCGTATGTCCCGCCACGGTCATGAAGCAGTGGGTGAATGAGTTCCACCGTTGGTGGCCTCCTTTTCGTGTATCTATCCTGCACACGTCCGGTAGTGGAATGGTCAACATCCGGAATGAGAGCAGTAGAGAAGATGCTCTTCTGTCTCAGTCGTGGAACGCCTCGAGTTCCCGTGGCATGCCCAGTGGCTCGAAGGCAGCGAGGAAGGTCGTCAAGCGTGTAGTGGAAGAAGGGCATGTACTGGTCACTACTTACTCGGGCCTACAGACCTATGCGTCTCTCGTGATCCCGATTGAATGGGGCTGCGCTGTTCTGGATGAAGGGCACAAGATTCGGAATCCGAACACTTCTATTACTATTCACTGCAAGGAACTTCGAACACCCCATCGCATTATCCTATCGGGTACCCCGATGCAGAACAATCTTACAGAGCTCTGGTCTTTGTTCGATTTTGTCTTTCCAATGCGTCTGGGGACTCTGGTGAACTTCCGGAATCAATTCGAGTTCCCCATCCGTCAGGGTGGGTACGCGAATGCCTCCAATCTGCAAGTCCAGACGGCTGCCAAATGTGCCGAGACCCTCAAGGATGCCATTAGTCCATACCTTTTGCAGCGGTTCAAGATTGATGTTGCGGCGGATCTGCCCAAGAAGAGTGAGCAAGTGCTGTTCTGCAAGTTGACAAAGCCTCAGCGACAAGCATATGAGGCGTTCCTGGGTTCCGAGGAGATGAAATCCATCCTCAACGGGCGTCGGCAAGTTTTATTCGGTGTCGATATATTACGAAAGATCTGCAACCATCCCGATCTACAAAACCACAAGCTGATGTCTTCGACGGCAGGCTATGGTGGTGGATCAAAGTCCGGCAAAATGCAGGTCGTCAAGTCGCTGCTGGAGCTATGGAAGGATACTGGGCATAAGACTTTGCTGTTCACACAGCATCGAATCATGCTCGATATCTTGGAGAAGTTTGTGAACTCACTGTCCGGATTTAACTACCGTCGAATGGATGGCACTACACCCATCCAGCACCGGCAAGCCATGGTGGACGAGTTCAACAATGACCCAAGCCTACATGTTTTTCTACTTACCACAAAGGTTGGTGGGCTGGGTGTGAATTTAACGGGTGCTGATCGGGTTATTATATACGACCCCGATTGGAACCCCTCGACCGATGTGCAGGCGCGGGAGCGGGCCTGGAGACTAGGACAAAAGCGCGACGTCACCGTCTACCGGCTTATGACAGCGGGCACTATTGAAGAGAAAATCTACCATCGTCAGATCTTCAAGCAATTTCTTACGAACAAAATTCTCCGAGATCCCAAGCAACGCCAGACTTTCCAGCTGAGCGATCTCCATGATCTCTTCTCCCTGGGAGACGAAGGGCAAGGTCCCACCGAAACCAGTAAGATCTTCAAAGATGCGGACGTCACATATGAAGACAGTGATGGCGCCTCGCGCAGGTCCAACGCAGCAACCAAATCATCTGCTGCTTCACATAGCGCGCAGGAAGAGAAGAAAGACATCAGCAAGGTCGTTGGCGTGGCCGCAGTCGAAAATTTCCAGGGAGAACCAGAGCAACAGAGCGAGCAGGAGAAGGGCACTCCCGGTGCCAACTCGGAGTCCCGCATCATGGAGGGCATCTTTGCCCGATCCGGGGTCCATTCAGCGCTGGAGCACGACCAAATCGTGAACGGCAAGCGCGTGGTGCGAGCGGACCCCAAGATAATCGAGGCCGAAGCGAAGCGGGTGGCAGCTGAAGCCGCAGAGGAGTTGCGGCGAGCGGGCGAGGCAGCGCGGTCTGTCCCCATTGGCACTCCAACCTGGACGGGCCAGTTCGGCCTGGCTGGGAAACCCGAAGAACAGTTACCCAGTCGACCTGCATTTGGAGGGAGCAGTAGCGCCGCTAGACGAGCAGTAGCCGGACCATCCTCAGCCAGCATCCTGGCGAATCTCTCTGCGCGCACACCGTCCCCGCGCAGCAGCAGCAACAGTCCCGCGCCATCACGCACCCCCAGCGGGGTCGATTTCATTACGATGATTCGAGACTTCATCACAGCCCAGGGCGGGTCAGTGTATACCCAAATGTTGATCGATCATTTCAACCGCTACTGCACCACACCGCAGCGATCGGCCGAGTTCAAGGAAATGCTGAAGACAATAGCGGTGCTGGACAAGGGGGGACGAAACGGACGCGGGAAATGGGCCTTGAAACCGGAATATGCCAAGCGACGATGATTGCCACATAATAGCATATTGTATACTAGATATGAGATCATATTAGGCGTTGGGCAACCATGGATGAATAGATTAATTGCGTTTTGGAATGATCGATACCTATATACTATGCTACTATACAATTATGTATCAGGGATTACCCATGTAGTATGTCCCGAAGGGCTGAAAGTTGAAACACTGTAGCTCGGGATGTGGGATGATGATGTCGATCCAATACCCCTTCATGTAATTCTACTATCTATAGTAATCATCATTGTTGTACAGCAAAATGCACTGATCATCAAAACCCCCAAGCAAACGACGTAACCATAATCTCTATGACGTACAAACATTGTAGACAGACTGATTATTGAGTTCCTTTTCAGCTACAGTAAGTAGTCTAAACGACGTATCCTATACGACCAAAGAAGGAACTTATGCGGATACTATTACCCCGCGGGAAAAGAACGTGATAAACGAACTGGTTCCGTGGATAGGGATCGTCCTTTTCTTTCAAACCCCAGTGTTCAAGTTGCTTGTGGGTTGGGTGTGGGTGTGGATCTTGTGTCATGAAAGACAATAGTGTGAACCAGAGAAGGGGAGGGAATGGAACGGGGAGGGGGAATCATGATGTCAGTTGCAGAGTAGCGGGCCCCTTCTATGGGGAAATATGTGTGACGGATATGAGATAGCATAGCCACGGTGTAGTACGGAGTAGGGTTGGTAGTTGTGCAGGCACGAAAGTCTAGACAGTTACTAATTACTTCTTACTAGGACGCTGTAAGTAAGAATGTCTTAGTGAGTGAGTGAGTTGTTTCAAGACCAATCGGAGTGGTGGTGTGATCGGGAAGTCAAAGTCCACTTTTTTCTGCTGCAGGTTAAAATTTTATTCAAGTGAAGTTACGTGATGGTCGTGATCGGCTTCAGGGGGGACGCATTGATCATTGTCACTGAATCCTCTACGCATCATAGTAATTGTTGTCTTTGGTAATGACGACAATCCCATTGTCTACTTATTGTGGAAAGAGAAGACGATCCAATCCGCGAGGCATATGACGACAGAATAGATGGATGAATGGATAACGGTAGAAACCCGAGCCGAGGGAGGAGAAAATCTGAGACAAAAAAGTCAATCATCTGACTGGGCAGGGATCGGTCGGGCATCGGGCATGGAGGAGAAGAGAAGGTCAGTGAAAATCCGATCAGCCGATAGATTAAGATCGACTGCTTACAAGTTTTGAGTAGGATTAGATTAGTATTTAGTCTTGTTGGTGGGTAGAATAAAAATAGAAAGATAATTAGTTTAGTAGTTGGTCTGTCTCATGTCAGATCAGCACTGTTGGAATTTTTGCTGTTAACTTGATATAGTATGGTGGTAAAGGGAATAATAGTACTATTCCCATCTCTCTATCTCTACTATTGTAGACTGAGTATGTGAAGTGTACTACTTACTTACTTAGTGCTGTGTATGCGGGGATAACTCCAGTCTCCTCCCGCCATCCTCGTTCATTCCATGCCTGCCCAATCAAGCCGTTCTGTTGAATTCGCCGCCCAGCTGTGATTGGCCCGGTTCAAGACCCTCCACCAGCACAGCCAAGAACGGGATCAGCCAATCGGACTGTGACAACCAGGGCGGCCAGTCCGAAAGTGCAGTGGAGCAGAGGATTTGCCTCCAGTTGTTCCTGCCTCTTTGCCTGCCTCTCATTCTGCCAACTCAAAAGTATTCCTCAGCTTGAGGGAAAATCAAGCTCCAACCACCAACCACCAACCGCCCCCTCCACCTGTCGGCATTCGCCCAAGTTTCCATTCTCAGATTCGCGCAAACTTTTCCCTAGTCTAGTCGGTAGTCTGTCCTGCCCCTGCACTATCCTTGGATCCTCATCCACTCGTTCCAACTTTCCCGTAAACTGTAGGCATTTCGGCGCCGGTGCACCCGTGTTCCCCCCCAACTGCGGCTGTGGGGAAGAATCGTGGTGGCTGTCCGATATAAAGACGCTGGCCATCCCCCTCCATTTCAGCCTTCATTTATCACGCACCATCCTCCTCCCTTTCCCATACATCCACTGTTCTATTTCAGGATTGAACCACGAGCCGTATTCTTTCTATTTTAATTTACCAACTTCCTCATCCATCTCTCTCCCACACCATCCACAATGAAGTTCCTTGCCTCTCTTGCCCTGTTGGCGTCTACTGTGACTGCTGGCCCGGTGCTGTACCCCCGCCAGTCCAGCAACTCCACCCAATCCTTCTACCTTAAGACCTCGGGCGCTACCAATGACGACCACAACAACCTCTATGTCTATGCCTACCACACCGGTGCGGGATTTAACGATGCCGTGCTCACCTCGGACGTCGGAACGGCCAGCCCGGCCTTCCTGAACGGCACCCACACCCAGTTCGACCTGGGCACTTCTTTCCCCTGGGGATTCAAGATGGGCGTCCAGAACAACTATGCAGGTTAGACTTCCTGTTCCTTCCCCTGATCCGTGTTTTGTTTTCTCTTGCCACATGGAAGTTTCGGGAAACTAACTTTTTTGGCAGCATGGGAGTCCGTTCAGATCAATGTTGGATACGGCGATGATGACTTCTCCATTGGTTCTACCGGTCTGGAGTGGTCGGCACAGGATGGCTTTGGAGGCTGGCTAGGTGAGTGACTTTGAACTTATAACCATACAAACTGTCAGAACGTGCAACTAACTGCAGCTATGTAGTGTGCGACTGGTACCACAACGCACCCCAGCTCTTCTACATCTACCGCTATGAGGAGCCCACTATTCCGTCCTCCTGCAGCACTGTCGACCTGACGCCCGAATACACTTCCTAAAGACACGACGTCTAGACCTCGCCACAGTGCCTTAAACAGGGGCTCTATGACGAGTGTGGCGTGACTGATGAATCATGAGACCGAAGGATCTGGGAGGATATGCGCCTCTCCCAGCCTGAAAGAGAATGCACACTGTAACAATACGCCTGTTAAACGATCGACCCTTACTAATGTTAATATACTTAATGATGAGTGAGAATGAGTTTTGATGATTGGGGAGGAAGGTGATCTATCTATACGCGAAGCGTGGCATGTTGCATAGTCAGGAATATCTGGTTTAGATATATTCTCACGTAAATATATGCATTTATACTACTACTATCTCTAATCTCCATGATTGACAGGAGTGATAGCTGCAAACCCACAGTAAAAGTAAAGTAGATTGATGTACTTCTCATCCGCTCCTCGCTTATCGTAGCGGCCAATAATTGGCAATAGTGGCTGCCGGGATCCGGTTAGTGTCGCAGGTTTGCGGGGACACCAAAGACTGATTTCTACAACAAAACCATGATTATGACTGACTGTATGGGAATGAAATTGCACCTAGAAAATGAGGCGAGATGGATAGCCGATATAGTCAGAGAAGGACAGACACGGGATGATTCTTTCGCCAGAACTTTATACCTGCGACGAGGGAGGCAAAGGGACTATTCTAGGTGAAACAAAGTTGCTGGTCAGGGCATAAATCATGATCCCCGACCGGGTCAGATGCAGTGGATGCCTCAGGCGGACCGCCAAAAATAGCCGGGTGTCTCACTCCCTGGCCCAATCGGGCAAGGCGCGCCTTCAATGGCTGCTCGTCTGGTCTTTTAGTCTCTCGCCCTCGTCTTTCTTTCTTCCCCCCTCGGGTCGGACAATGCTTCGCTCGTCTGTCGTTTGTCTCTTCTGACCTTCGCTATCGCTTGATCGGTCGTATCTTTTCATCTATCTGCCACCCCCAGGTTCGCTGGAATCAGATCGGTCTTTTGTCGTTCGCTTTGTTTACATCTCTCTTCCCCCCCGACCCTCGTTGGACCCTGCCGAGAATCTATCGGATGATCTGCATGTTTCAGTCCCGCTGGCCTGAAAAAACACCTCTTCTGCAGCCCGTATCGCTTCATCGCTGGATTTGATCATCGCTTATCGTGCTCGACGGTTCATCTTCGCCATCCTGGTATAGCTTCATCTGTTGCTCGTCAGTTCATCGCAGTTACAAATACCCCTGTCGCTTCTGCCGCCATATACGGGAAAGGGTCCACGTCGATCGGACCCTGAATTTTGCCAAGGGAGTCAACGGACCCCTCTGCCTTTCAGTCAACACAACTGCGCAACACTACAATCGGACTTTTCAAGATGCGTTCCATGTCTCGTCTGTTTGTTCTGTGCCTCCTCTTGGTTCTGGGGACGGTAACTTCCGCCTGGCCATGGCCGCCGCATGGCGAATTGTTGCGACGAGCTGGTCAGTCCTATCTTATGACATTTACACCCCTTCACCTTTGTCCTACTTTCATCGTGATTCGTGTATGTGTTGCTGACCCGCGAAGATACTACCGCAGCTGAGAGCGCAACCACTGGAGCCGCCGCTACCACCGAGAGTGCATCGAAGACCGAGGCAGCGACCAAGACCGCCGCCGCAACAGGAAGCGACACCACGGCCACGGCCACCGGCACCAATACCAAGTCAGCTACCGGAACAGGCACTGCTAGCGGCAAGTCCTCTGGCTCTTCTTCGAACAGCACAACGAGTGTTTCTATCAACCCCGCTGCCGGTGCCGGTGGTATCTCCATGCTTATTCCCACCCTTGGTGCCACAACCTACTATAAGATCGGCGATTATGTGACCCTGAAATGGAACTACACCTCTTTGACCATCAGCCCAACGGCTGTCAATGTTGTCGCTTCTTGCAGTTTGAACAGCGCCACCTACACCATCTCGTCCAACATGACCATGTCGCCCACCGGAGAGGTGGTCTGGGACACCAAGAAGTACCAGGCCAACGCGACTGTCCCGCTGTTGACTGCGTCGTACACATTGATTGTGTGGGATGCCAGCAAGGCCATCACTGAGACGGCCAGTGCCGGTTATCTCAGCGCTGCTAGCAGCTACATCTTCGGAATGTACATTTCGCAGCCGTACACTCCGCTCAATGGTATGTGATCACCTCTGTATATCTTAATCAGTCTGCTAACTCCGACAGGATTTGTCTGCGCTACCTGCAGCGGCGCTTTCTCCGAACTCGAACGCTTAGGGATGAAATTCACCTTTGGCATGTTCGCCATCACCGTCCTGTCCTTCACCTGGTTCGCCGGTGGCTTCGGTCTCTTCTCCACATGAGTGTAATCTCCGGATGACGACGAAAATAAACATTTTTATGCATTAGAATGTTGCATTGAGCAAAGCGATTTTCGTTTTAAGTTATGATGATAGCAATCTATCAGCTGGGTTGGACTGGCGTTTGCGAGTTTCCATTTCTGATTTGACTAATGGCTGGGAAGTTCCTCTATATTATTGACCTTTGTTCACTCCTTTGAAGCGCAACAATAGCGGGATATCAGTGTAATAGTGTGTGCATGCGGTGATTATGACATGTTGATTGTATCTCCACTTGGCCTGTCTATATTTAATGTTCTCTGCAATTATGGCATGGATGTATGTATACATACTCATCTGGACTGTATCGGATACTTCCTCAGATTAATATATACCTACTACAGCAGTAAACTAGAACTAGTAAATACATACTGCAACTCTTCCGAAAGATAATTTGGTACTAAACTTTCTCTATGCACTTCCCATCACGGCACCGAGTATCCATACTATTATTGAAATAGTGGAACAATCCACAATCACCATAACCAACATGACACCCAACTTTGATGCCTTAACACGAAGAAGAGAATAATCCGAAAAAAAATACACAGTATGAATAGTAGTAAAACGGAATACCCCGAAACCACAACCACGTAACCGGAGTATCTCATCAATACCCCTAATGAAGATAATATATATCCGTCCTCTGTACTACACAACGAAGTGTAAGTAACAATACCCCTAGAATATTATTCCCTAAGGATATACTAATCATGGTAATCGAATAAGAGGACTCTGAGAGAGATATATACATGTATATACTATATGGAATATCCCGCTATCCGAGCCCAAAGCTTATTACTACGTGCATTCAATTTACTAGAGTAGTATCCCTATGTACGCATGTATCTCACTACAACATCGTATCTCGTACTAACTACCACATCAAAATGTACGTACGTATTGCCCAACTTGAAAGATTCGAAAGATTGATTGATCGAATCAATGGGTAGTGAGATAAGATATGATACGGATCTCCCCGTTTGCTCATCGTCAGCTAACTAGTGAGTAACACCAACACCAACGGTAGTACTATGCTACTATTTTTGATTTTGGTATACAGTACAGTTACACCCACCAATTGAACTTAGTTGATATCTCACAAACAAGGTTTCACGAGGTACAGGAATACGAGATACATGCAGGTGCAATTATTAAGGAATATAAGATATAGGAGATAACCACATTAATGGATGAGCAAAATTCAAGCACTCAGATAGATCTGCATGGACTGCTGAGCATAAATAGGATCTGCTTTTCTCGTTTTTGATGTCGATTTTCGCGTCATTGGTAAGTACATCTGATTCTCAATTTTGAGTCTCAAGTTGTTGTTGTGATCCTTGACTTGACTCAATCCTCTCTCTTGCTAGTCACTCAAGTGACACCGATTCCTCATCGACTATTTCAGAGGACCAAGACCAGATCAGTCATAAAGCAAACAAAATGTCAAGTTTCTGGAACCCCAACTACAACGCTACCAGCAGTCACAGGAAGAGAAGGCCGAGAAACAAAGGCAAACAGCGAGAGGAAAACACAGCAATACCATTCTTTGGCTCCTCGACATCAGCACGATGGCAGCGACCGTCATCATCGTCACCATCGTCATCCTCTAAGTATGAGGAAGAAGACCTAGTCCTGGTCAGACGCAAGGATAGTCCACCGTGGTGGTGGCTGTTGTTAGTGGAAGGGACCTCGGGGGTTACGGTCATGAAAGCTGCCAAGGACGAGCACGGCTCTCGTCGTCGTCCCGGCCACAGGGTTCTCGAGCCACTTGTTGAGGGGAAAGTGGCCAGCTTTTTCCCGGCAAGGTTGGATGAGGAGGAGTAGGTGTGATGCCAATGCACCTTTGTTTTTCCTTGTGTTGAATGTTCCGAGGAACATGCACTGGTGACACCCGCGATATGCCACTGAGGCGGGTGATGAGTCTCGGTTCGACGGTCTGATATATAATATATGAGATGTTGAGGCGTTTTTCAATTGTTGGAATAGAACATTCCATCGATAGTTATATTTCCTGTGATGTTTCCTTTGCTAGACCTTCATTCGGCACAGCCTTGATGATAGGCTTCCCAGGTTTGACTCCCCTGTTCTTGGGGAGTAGAAGATGGCTTCCGAATGGTGGGAAGGGTTGCAGTGCTGTCGGTCATCTTGGCGCATTTTGCGCAGGGTGTCTGTTTGATAGTCGAATAGGACGATATCATGTCCTAACATAAAGAAGTCAGTGTTTTGTCCACATATACCATTCAGCAACGTAGAAGGTAGGCCTACAAGTAAATAAAGCAAATCCCACTGTCGCGGCCTCGCATTCAAGCACTGCGCCACAGCGGTCTCGACCTTCGATGGCGTCTGTCCCCCCGGCGTCCTAGTAAAGACCCGCCAATCAGGAACCCCATTCCCATCCTGACCAGCAATAGCCTCGACCCTGAACACAATTCCAGCTTTAACAAGCACAACAGTAACAGCCGCTTCACTCTGACTAGCCAAGACCCGCACACCAGGCACATTCTTCTGAGCAAAGCCGTCAACAATCGCTCTCCATCCACCCTCAGTAGCCTGGATCTTCGATCGCTCCATCTCCTCATTAGCTTTCTGCTGCTGCTCATTCTGAGCCTGCTCCTCCTCACGGAGATCCGCGAGAATGGTATCGTAATCTCGTTCCCACTTCCCCGTGGGCTGCAGCATCACGCCGCCGTTTTCTTTAATTTGCGCGTCGACGCGATCCCAGACGGCTTTCATCTCGGGACTTCTCCACATCGACTGAAACTCTTGCAGCTCGGAGACACCCGCGCGCGCTGCTTGAGCGAGCTGCTCGTACAACATTTGCGGGGACTTGGGGACGGATCTTCCCGCAGCGGCCTTGGGATTGACAATGGGTGCCAGGGGTTCCAGAAGGCGCTCGGGAAGTAGAGTCCGTAGTTGGTGGATCTATCAGAAGTGTTAATCGGTGTTGAGCTTGACTGGAAGGAGTAATACTCACCATTGCTTCCATCTTCTGAAGCTTCGCGAGCGAGGAAACAAGCTGCGTTTCAGAGTCCCAGGCATCAGGACTGGTATCAGTGTTACTAGCCGCCCCGGTAGAGGCTTCAGCGCCATTCGAGGGAGGGACCATTGCAGGCACAACCACTGGCATTCTAAGAAGTGTTTGACCGGGGTTGGGAGCAGATGCCATTGTCACTGTCAGTGGGGATAGGATGGCTATAGTAATTTAAAATAAAGCCAGATGCGGAAATCCAGCGCAATTTATGAGATGAAGGGAAGTTTCAGCAATCGTCAGCTGATAGGCGAGCACGTGTATCCAGTCCAGGTTAGGTAATTGACAAGCTGGACTATGAATGCACGTAGGAGCAAGAGTGAAATACGTCTCTTTATGGGTCGTGTATTTGATCAACTTCTAAGGATCTCACAATTCAAGAGTCCACTTGACGCAGCAGGTATGGAACTGGAGACAACGTCAACAATGGCGATAGGTTGAATCTCGGTGGAGGGAATTGCGCCGCCGAAATTTGGCTGACTCAGCACGCATATGGATAAGCCACATATTGCATAGCCACAGGTTTCTGTGGCTGGAATTAACATGCGCGTACGCCGTCAGGAATAAGCAAGAATATAATGCATAACTATACCTCAGTTTTTACCGAACCAGCCCGGCTAGCTCAATCGGTAGAGCGTGAGACTCTTAATCTCAAGGCTGCGGGTTCGAGCCCCGCGTTGGGCTTTCTTTTTTGCTTTTTTTGCTTTGTGGTGGTGAAGTGGTAAGAAAGATGAGTGAGTGGATCTTTGGGGGAGGATTCTATTCGGTAGTCACGGATTCAAATCCCGCTACCATCACAAACTTATCCATTACAAGAAGTCGTCGTTCCTTTCTGACTAGTACTACTTTCCAATGTGAGTACTAGCCAATGAATTGATTCTGGAGTTGTCGCCATGCATTTCAATTTATAAGAACAAGATTACTACGAGTTGATTACTGGTCTATGATCATAGCATATTAATATAACTGCTATATTCTGACGAGCTATGATACTCAAGTATACGAGAAATATAGTTCTTGTGTATCAACGTTGCTTTGCCGTCTGCACCACAGTGTCACCGATCAACTGGATATAGCGGTTGAGGATGCCATCACGATTCAAACTAAGTAGTGTAAAATCTCATCATATTAAATTATCCAGGCTAGTATATGTAGTCATTTCTGGGAATGCCCCGGGGCATGAAAAGTGTAGCTCATCATAATGCAAAGAATTCGTAGCCATCCGGCGGCTTGAACAATTAATGGCGTGGTTAAAATCCCAGCAGTGCTGAAAATCACGAAGAAAATAACCGAATATGGACACCACGGTCATGCGACAGCGTGAGACTGGAATTGATGATCGGCTCCACCATATCAGGGTCGGCATTCTCAATTCTGTTGTACCGCTGTAGTAGTTTGACCATGGTGTAGCTGGCTTCAGTGAGGGCGTATTGCTCTGGAAGAGACTGTTAGTGATGTGACTGTGGCATATATGTAGGGAAACTTACGTCCAAGACAAATGCGTGGCCCGCCGTTGAATGGAAGGTACTCCCAACCCCGCTTGCTGTTCTCTTCCCATCGCTCGGGTCGGAAAGCATGGGCATCCGGGCCGTATAAGTCGGTGCGACGGTGCATTGCATATACGCTGTACGACACAAGCTCTCCCTTGCGCACGTAGACCGGGGCCTTCCCGTCGGGCCCACCACCCAATGGCAAGGAAGTATCTTTGGCAGCGACACGGAAGTTTAGAGGAACAGGCGGGAGGAGACGGAGGACTGGTCTTGTTAGGAGATATTATAGGGTGCGGCGGGGGAGGAGGGTATTGCTCACCTTCGTTCAAGAAATAGCGCAAGTATGGCGTATCCTTCAGCCTAGCATGCGTGATCTTTCCGTTGGGGTGTTTAGCGTCTCCAAACTCGTCGACGATGGTCTGGCGAAGTCTGGTCCAGACATTAGGATGACGTGCTAGGTAGAAAAAGGCCGAGCTGAGCAGACTGGCAGTGGTGTCGCGGCCAGCCAGGAGGATGTTGAGCATGTTGTCACGGATCACTCTCGGGTCATCGGTATCCTCCGCTAAGGCTTCTGCGAAGATGTACCTGCCCGACTCTTTCTTTTCGGGGTGACGCTTTGCCTCGAGAGCCAGGCGCACGTAGTGGTCAACCACCTCGTGCACAAGCTGATTCGCTTCACGGAACTCCTTGGGGTTAACGAGCCAATAGAATGCCATGGCTCTGGATCTCGAAACCAGGTATTCTTGGGCTCGGTTGAATGCCTCCGCGAACCCTTGGGCGTTTCCAACGGTGGACTTCTCCAGCAGACTCGACTCAGTGGATGTGCGCATTGATCCGACGGATTCACCAAACAAGAAATGTGTAGCCGAGTCCATGGTCAAGAGGAAGAAGAGGCGCTGGATGTCGAAAGTTGACCCATCCTTGGGAATCAAGTCCATCATCTTGGTGATGTGGCCATCCATAAGGTCGAGATCAGCAACCTAACCGCTCACATTCGTCAGCCAGTTCTCATTGATGGTAGATTAGTAGAATTATCAGACCTGATCGCGAGTGAACTGCGGCCTCAGCATGCCACGCGCATGAGACCAGCCCGGCCCATCTAAGGTGAAGATACCATTTCCCAGCAACGGGTAGAACTCGCGATGCCGGGTCCCGAGACCAAAATCCTGGAACTGAGTAGCCAACAGTGCCTTGATGTTCTCTGGCTCAACGGTGTTGGTGACCATGAGTCCTCCCAAGGCCTGCTGACGGAAGGTCGGTCCACTCGTCTGGTAGTGATCGGCAATGAATTCAACCCATCGTTTCTCCCTGGCCGCCTTTGCAATGCGATAGAAGCCAGTGATACCGAGGATACCGGTATCGACGGAATTAGGGGGCTGGCAGCCGAGAGCTCTGGACTTCTTGCGATGGTGGTAAGCCTGGTGGAGGGAGCCCAGGATGCGAAAGGTCAAGTAGATGGCACCTAGAAAGACAATCGCAGGAGCCAACATGACGCAACTGCGGGTAGTCTAGTAGTGCGGGGAGGAAATCTAGATAGTAGATAGAGAAGTGGAAAGGGGTGATTTGAGGAATGTGAGATGAGAGATAAATAACTTTAGAGTGAATGTTATGTACAAAGAGGTATGATAATCGACAGGGGCAGTCCGGTTCCGACCACAGACCTTATATACTTTGCCCTAGTTCACCCCGCAAGGAGAGATCCAGACTTGGATTCACTTGGCCAAGAAGGGTTGGTTCCAAACTCCTCGGTCGTGAGGCCCCATGTGAAATGAAGGAATGGGGAACCCCCCGCCTCCATAGCCACAGAGTCAGTAAGTAGACGAAGACAGGGAGACGGGAAGGGATGGATGGTTCCAGCGATGCAACACAGTCAGAAGCGGCAATGGGCTGGCGATGATTGGAAAAGCCAACCTTGCGAGGGGTCATTTCCGATTCCAGATGCTTTCGGCACTCGGAAACATCGCAAGCATCTCCCAAAAGGGAAAAGCGGCTGTTGCGTCGCAGGATTTTGGACATGACGCTAATTCCAACGCTGATCTAAAACCTCCGAGGCTTCTCTTGCATCGATGTTGCTCGCGTGTACTTTTTCTAAAGTACTATGTAGCATCTCAGGATCCACTCCATTGTCAACCCTCGTCATCTTTTCTTTATCCAGGCTTCAGGCTCCAGGCTCCAGCAAAACCCAGAAACCTTTACCCCTCCCCCCCTCCCCCCTAAATCACCTGGTTTGACTGGAATTTTGTCCAAAACATTCAAGCCATTGCAACAGGGCGGATGTGAAGATGCCGCGTGACAATTTACCCACGGTCGGCGTGGCCTGAAAGTCAAAGCAATGTTCCGAGTCCTTCATGACGTATCCAAACACCGTGTCTTCGTCTGTCTGCACCCCGCATGCTGGGATCGCGCTCGTAAACTCCACCTCTTGAGGTGCGATATCGTCCGTAGACAGAATGGATAATGACCGCCACGGATCGAATTCTCCTCCGCTGAAGTAAACATTGGACGGCCGGATCGTCCATCCCCCAAACTCTTGGTTGACCTCATCCGCCCGCGGTGACGGAGGCAACAGTCCTTTCTCCACCGCATGGGGAAACTGTCGGTTACATACTTCTTGCTGGTATTCCACCGACTGGTATCGCGAGGCCAACGAGTGTGGCCCTTCGTTGTTCGCTTGGAAGAATCCCCATTCGCTGCAGTATTGCCAAGTCCAAGTGATGGTCGCGGGATCGCCGTATGGCTTGGAGAAATCACAGTCAATTGGCTGAGAAGCGTTCTGAGGTCCGCAGTTGGTCCCCATATTCAGATTGACCAGCTCCAGGAAGGTGGGCCATGCTGCCCATCGTTCAGCGACATACTGGCCGCCATACGTAGGGGCAAGACCATCCGGCCCGGTAGTCCCGTTCGTCTTGGGGTCAACTTCAAGATACTCGCAGAAAGCGCCTAGACCTCCAATCCCTCCCGCCATACCATAGCTCTGGAAGTAGCTGTAGATGGCGGTTAGCGCTCCAGTGAAATCACCGTTGGAGTTGGCTTCGGCGCCAGGTCCGAAGAAGAGTTGTTTGATTGAGGTAGCTGTATCGTCGTCCGATAGTTGATCGTCAATATATTCCAGAGCAGCGTGAATATCTGCCGAGCAGTTGGTCCATCCATCGGCAACCATGCCGCGGTAGACCTGGTCGTAGTACACACTCATATTGACCCGTGCTTCCACCGGAGCCGATGAGGAATAGGCTGCGAAGATGGTCTCTGGGTACTCGTTGCGAGTTAATGCAGCACGGATGCCAGCGTACGAGCCGCCAACCATGACCCACGGTGTGCCCTGCGGCGTCAGGTCCACGTCCGGATACTTCTCGCGGCTGAAGTTACTAGCAAAGTACGGGAGATCCGCCAGCGCCTGCTTGGTGGTGAGGTACTGGTAGGTCTCTGGTGGAGATTCATAGGATATGGGAGCCGGAGTCGAGTTTCCATAGTATCTGTGCTCCCAAGCGATTCCCATGGCGTTGAACTCTATCAAGAATTCTCGGAAGAAGGAAAGAGTGGAAGTTAGGTAGGCCGAGGCTATCGATGCGCCATCCGCCTCCCCTGTATCATATACAAATATCGGACTGCCTGGCTCATAGAATTCATCGCTGACCCAGAATCGATTTTGATAAGTGCCAGCCGATGCGTTATCATGGTCAAGAGGAATCTGAGTAGCATGATCAGTGATAGGAACAAAGAGCCAGGCTGGTGCTTTTCATACGGTGACATATTCAGTCTCCAACGCAATGGCCATCGCTGAATGTGAAACGAGAGTATTGAGGTTCTGCTCATTGTGCCTCCCCAGCTCTGGTTCAACACCAAAGTGAGCAAGCGACTGAGTACCCCATCCAAAGGGGGTCTTTTTCTGCCCCGAGCCCATAACGGGCCGCGAGAGCAGGAAAGCCCCGATGGCTGCTATTGTGGTGGCGTATGAAGGCATAGGGGCCTTCAAGGGACAGTGTATACAAGGGTAGAGGGTTCGGAGCAAAGGAAGACAGTAGTTACACACAAATTCCTAAATTCTCGTCTTTTCATGATTGAAGGCATTCCTTTTGTGTCTTATGTACAAAACATAACTACAATGGTAGACAGTGAATGAGACGGTTTCGGTCACGAATGTCTCTGTCATACAGTAAATTCACTTCTAATAGACGTCTGCCTACGGAAACTGATTTCAACACATGTCAACATGCTCAGCCGAGATATGGTGGGCTGCTGGGCATCGTGTGCGGCCAGAAATCCCTGTTATGTTGGACAAGACCATAACAATCAACAGACGCATCAGGGTTGATGCCTCCGTCGGGCTGTGGCTTCGGGGCGCACGGGCAGCAAAAGCCACATGTCTGTGTCTTAATTAGTGGGTTCCTGAGCAATGGCAATACGTAGCTTTTGCGGGGTTCCTTCCGCTTGCCGAAGATGCCCTGTCGATCCTCTGTGTAGCGCAGGATGGTTGGGAATGCGTCTGCAGGGTCCGGACCCAGCCTCCATTCGGTATTGATGCGTGCGCCATATTTATCGCCACCATTCACCTTTTGTCTCCGCGGTCCCAGGCTGTGCTTCGTTTTATTAGAAGAAGCTGATTGACTCTGCAGTAGTTCAATATCTAGGGTTACTGCTCCCAGTTTTTGTCTCGCCTTCGCCACGAGGATTGCGCTGCATACCGAAGCAAGGGGCTGTGAAGCCAAGAGGATTTGCCGAAATGAAGCGTAATAGTTGACTGAGACAAATACAGGGGCTTGAGTAGGTGTTATGAACTTGAACGTAATTGAATCAATCTGTGTGCACGGTATTCTCAGATTCGCCAGTTTCGCTATCTCAGCAGCATTCGAGTAGCGTCGACGGGAATAATAGAAGAAGATTTAAGAGTCAGTCAGGGCCCAGAGACTGGCAGAAAATTAACAGAAGATCTTGCCGTAAAGATATCCCTGGACACTGCAACTGAAAGTTTGGCTTGTATGAGCCACCAGCATGCCTACACCCTCGAACTCATGTCTTGCAAGGACTCTCATCATGAGTATAGATAGGTACGATCAAATGCGATCAATCGTACTGCAGCTTCGTATCAGCAACTTGGGGTCAAAAGTATACCCCCATGCAGCAGTTCTGCCGAGATCTAGGGGAAATGTGAAGAAGAATGCCGAGAGTGGACGGAATGATGGTCTAGTTTCGGGCGGCGAGTCTGGCTCGGTTCGGTGTTTGTTTTGCATTCCCTTGCATTCCTCCTCTCTTGCGTTCGGAAACACTCATGCCGTCGGCATTTCCCGACCCATGCTCTTGTATCTATTTTGACAGGTGGGCCGATTGTCTCCATCATTGGGGATCTCGGAGGACCTACTGAAGACTGCAGCTTCAGGAACCGTGGGATCTCTTGTAAGACCTTTGCTACGATGAAGCTGTGACTAAATGTCATTCAATCCTATCTCCAGTATCTCCAAAGTCTAACTAATTGGGTTCCTAGATCATCACACATTAGCAAAAGCATTCATGGCCCTTGCGTCAATTCCATCCTTGCAGCTATAAGCCTGTGCAGCCCAAGTTAAGGTTATATTATCGACGTGTTATGCATCTCACCAAGGTCGTTCATAGGCAGACTGTATTTCATCGTTGGCAAGTCTATTTGACGGCGCTCCGAAATCCAGTCATAGAATTATCTGGAATAATCCGTGTTTAATCCAGAAGACTAAGCTACTTCATTGCCAGTTTGTCCGAACACTATGGCTTGACATCTAAGTAGTATATATATTCCAAGCAGACACAACCCACAACCAGATTGGTTTCTACACAAAACAGTCGTTGCTGGACAAAGACGTTGAGAACACGATAGCATAAACACTACCAGACATCCTGCAAATGTCGCTTAAAAAGATCGGCGTTGCTCGAGACGAGGTACGGTCCACTGGTGCTGTCTCGGACATCATGTGGTGCGTTTCAGCATCAGCTTGAGCTCTTGGCATTTAGCGGAGCGAGTACACATCCAAAGGGCATAAGGACCTTTTCCACGTGCGGATGATTTCCATGTTGTCGTCTATATTTGACGAAGAATAGATTAAAATGAGGAGAGAGCTCATATAACGCGAGACCCAACATGAAAACGACACTTCTGACTCGTGGATTGGCGCTTATGCTAAATAGTCACACCAGGTGATATCGCGCGGAG